AGCTCTGGTACTCTCTTCGGTCCCAAGCTAATCGATGCACCGCTCGAAACATAGGAAAATCCACGAACCCCTCATTTTATCTGTCAAACTCCCATAGCGAATCAAAACAAACATAGTGTAGTACTAGAATTTCGACTAAAATGGGGTGCGTTAATCGATTTGCTTGGGACCAATAGGCTAGTCAAGTAGTGAGCCAATTTAAAATCGTTAGTTTCCACCGGTTGATAGTACTGCTTCCACCCCTCAATCACCTCACACTCGTTCGTGAGTAGCTTACCGTCCAAGTCCTTGCACATATCGGCTCCGTGTGTCGTTTACGCGGTATAGATTTTCCATCGCCTCGCGATCTCGGTCTTTCTGTTGACGCTTCTTCCTTCGAAAAACCGAGTTTTGTCTGTTCCGCGCTTGTCTGTATCGCTCCACATTCAATCTCGCCCGTGCTGCATTCTTCTCCTCTACTAACAGTTTGCATTCGCCGTCAAACCAGTCATTTCTTCGGTCCGGGATTGCAGTACCTAGTGCCGCTGCAGCAGTCTTACCTATGGCTGAACGGATGTCCCTCCAGCCATCTTCAAGAGAAGCTGCGCCAAGCTGCTCTTCCGTGGGTAGTGCAACTTCCAGCTGCTGCGCGTAGTCCTGGGCAACTCCGGTGTCCCGTAGTTGCTCAATGTTGGGTCGTGGCGTTCGACTTCGACGTGTGTTATGCACCGTCGAGAGTTTTGAGCGCATGCATACTGCAACTAGGTAGTGGTCCGAATCTATGTTCGCACTGCGGTACGTGCGGACGTTGATAATGTCGGAGAAGAATTTCCCGTCGATTAGAACGTGATCGATTTGGTTTTCTGTGTGTTGGTCAGGTGATCTCCAGGTGGCTTTGTGGATATCCTTGCGGGGGAAAAAGGTACTTCGAACTACCATACCCCGAGAGGCTGCAAAGTTCAGGCATCGTTGGCCGTTGTCGTTCGATACGGCATGCAGGCTGTTTGGCCCGATTGCCGGTCTATACATTGCCTCCCGTCCTACCTGAGCGTTCATGTCACCGATGACGATTTTGACGCCCCGTTGCGAACAGACGTCGTACACCTGCTCCAGCTGCGCATAGAACGCTTCTTTCTCGTCGTCGGGTCTCCCTTCGTGTGGGCAGTGCACGTTGATGATACTGTAGTTGAAGAAACGGCCCTTAATCCTCAACTCCTCAACGGCTGCCAACCAATCACGCGTTGGCGCATCTTACCCAGCACTACAAAGCCGGTTCCCAGCTCGTTGGTGGTGCCACAGCTCTGGTAGAAAGTAGCCGCTTGATGCCCGCTTTTCCATACCTTTTGTCCCGTCCAGCAAAGTTCCTGCAGTGCTACGACTTCGAAGTTGCGTGGTTGAATTTCGTCATAGATTAACCTATCACAGCCCGGGAAGCCGAGCGATTTGCAGTTCCATGTCCCGAGTTTCCAATCGTAGTCCTTATTTCGTCGCGTAGGTCTGTGCCGATTGTTCCGATTCGTATTTCTTTCTTCAGTATTTGCAACTTTGTTTTTTTCCAGGGTGGCTTGTTGGGCCTGCACCAAACCCCCTGTCTCGCCGGGGGACCGTCGTGCACAGCTCTGTTTAGAGTCCCACGCTGGCACTAAGACGGTGATCAGCCGCTCCTAACATGGAGAAGAGACGCCGTTTTGAGCCGCACCTCCATGGTGAACAGACGCTCGGGTTTGGTGAAGCATTTTCTCTATCACCGTACTATGGTTACCGCGCCAGTGTTCGCGTCGCACCTCTTCACTTTGCTATTCCCGGACTGGCAACATTGCCCAGGCTACGCCACCCAGCTGTGTCCATGTTTTAGCTGGTAGTCTTTTGTTATCATATGGCTCGGGGAGGCGTGAAGTAGGAACTTGTGAGGACCAGGGATAGGTATTCCGCTCCTTCCAGGTTGTCAACTCATCATTTTGTAGCCCCAACGAGGATAACGAGGAGGGTTGGAAACGTGTCTGAAAGACAACCAGTCAACGATACCTTAAAACGATCTTTGCTGGGATAGTTACGGGTGATTTTAACCAGATTTAATGGGAAGTGGAAGTTACAAAGCTTGTACACAAGTCCGTCATGCCAGACATTGTCAAACGCTTTTTCATTGGTGGAGTGGACCTCAACTGTTCCGGAAGGAGAATGTTGTTTTCCTCGACAAACTTGAGCAAACGATTTAGAATGAGTTTCTCGAACAATTTGCTCAACGCTGAAAGGAGGCTGATTGGTCTGTAGTTTGAAGACAATGTTCGATCCCTACCGGGTTTGCGGATTGGTATAATTTTTACTACCTTCCAGACGCTTGGAGAGTAGTGCAGCTCCAAGCATCTGTTGAAGATAGCGGTCAAAAGAGACTGCACTGTCATGCTGAGTCTCTTCAAGATTAAGTTGAATATGCCGGCAAACCCGGGAGCCTTCATATTCTTGGTGCATTTCAGGGCTGACCAAATCTGTTGTACTGTGCCGGAGGCACGACACAAGGGGTTGAACACATTGTGCAACTTGATCTTCGAGCGGACTTTGGATAGTCGAACCAAGCAAATGCGATGAATCGACATGCTTGACGATCGTATTTGCTTCTGATTAAAAGCCAACGGTCATTTCATTTTCGTCTCTGAGAGGTGGAAAAGGTTTGGGATAAGTTTTCAAGACCTTGTCTACCATCCAGAATGGTCTGGAGGGGTCGTCCAGATTCTGAACAACACGCCCGAAACTTTCATTTCGGAGTGAGTCCATTCTGGAAGCAATCTGCCTGTTCAGATCGGTCAGTTCACGTTTTTTGCCCAGATCTCCAGTCCTCTGAAACTGGCCTTTATGAACATTTCTCAACCGAATCAGTAATTGGGTGTGGGAATCAATAGCAACAAACTTACCCCTCACAGGAACTTGTCGAACACATGCCTCGTTAGCAACGGATGTGCCTGTTGGAGTCCTTCTAACGCCCGGTCGATGATATCTACACGGAGAAAAAATACTACCCAATTGAACTCTTTATTGTTGTCAAAAAAGGAACGAGAGATTCGACCCATCGATATAGTTCAGCCCAATAAGTTACTTTTGAGTAAATTGCATATTCTCAAATTTACGTACATTAAACTTAATTTCGGGTAGAATATACTTAAGAGTAGGTATTTTTTTTTTTTGCTGGTGTTAAATGGAAACTACTATATACGATTTACTTAAATTTGGGTTATTGGGCTGAACCCCGGAATTGAGGGAAAAGTACTTAATTTTGGGTAGTTTTTCGTCTCCGTGCAATGTGTCGAGCGGTGGATTTCGTCCGAACTGCATCCAGTTTACATGGTGGTAGTCTTTACGCAGGCAGCTTCTAGCAGGCACCAGGTTGACATCGACTTCAACCACAACCAGTTGGTGGTCGGAGCTAAGATTGTTGTGCGTCTCCGGCTTGGATAGTCCGATGTTCGACAGGAAAAAATCCAGGGTGGAGGGATTTCCCAGCAGAGAGATGAAACAGGTACAGTCCACGTTGTGCGTGATTGAATAGTAGACATCCGCTCCGGTTCCGCTGGTATTTTCGCCAACCTTCATGGCGGGCATTCAGGTCGCCCCCAACGATTAATCGGGAGCTAGTACGAGTGATGGCGGTCAGGTCGTTCTTGAATTTGCTTGCCAATCCGTTGATGACGGCACACTGCCGCAGGCAGTAAACAGCCATGAACCGGACATTTCCAGTTGGCGATTCCATCTACACACTAAGAGCCTCGATGATAGGCGTGCGGATGTGAGACAGGGTGTAGAACTGGATTCCTTTCGGATAATGTTGTGATCAGGCAACCAGAAGGAGGGTCTCGGTTAGAAGGCCCACATCGATGCTGTGCTTGCGGAGGAAGCTGGCAAGCTCAATATTGTTTGCTCTTATTGAGCAAGCATTCCAGGTGATGATAGTTAGCGGTTTATACGCCATACTGGATGATGAAGCTACCGAGAACTTGGATCTGTTCGGGATTTTGCGGCACTTAAGAAGAGCACCTGTAATGTTGACGAAGATTTCCATCAGTTTATCCGCTGAGAACAGATCGAGGTTGCGGCGTGTTCTTGAGCGCAATTGCTGCAGCGTGGCTTGATGTTACAGTTACGGGTACCATGTCCAAAATTGAGGCACCACTGCCACTGTGTTACGTCACGATGGCCGTCACGGTATGGCTCCCAGCGTATGAAGATGGAATAGATCAATGATGGCCAAAGTGCGGCTCGTGGTGCTTGGATCTCTATGATGCAACAACTTCAGCTTGCATTTCTTTTTGCATATCGAATGTAGGCCCGGAATGTTTGGGAAATACGCACAATTCAACTTAAAATATGACCATCGAACAAAGATACAGCTATTGAAAAAATGGGCCTGAGCACCACTGAAATAGATCGATCGGATGGCTTGTAGCGCATTGAGCGTCACCGTCCCTTTCTGGAAGTGAACCAGGAAAAGGCAATCCGGGTACATTTTCACGTTTTTATCTCTCCTCGTCATACGAAAGACAGCAATTAGGGCCAGCTTGTACCGGTCCTTGAGTTCTTCTTCGATCGACTTGGGGTCCATGTTTGGTAAGACCCTGATGACTACCTTGAAGGGCTTTTCGCCGGGAATGTCATGCGTGAAGTATTCCGCTCTGGAATCCTACAGGTACTTCACGGTCAGTTCATACTCCACTTTGCTACGGAGCATCACCTTGGTGCCGATCCTGCTCAGCTTGAATTCAGCTACAACGCCCCCTGATCGACCACCATGTCATTATTGCCACCAAATTATGCAAGCACTACGTTCTTTTGGCTGCTCTCCTAGCTGCTTTCAGGCCTTCCGCTTAGGACGGGAAGTCATGCGGTGCTCCTGAATCTTGCATAAGAAACACATGTTTTTATTCCCGTCATAGAATACATTCCCTTTCTGATTGAAGAAATCCAAAATTCTAAGGTATTCTGAAAAAAAGGAAGGTCATCATACTCCCAAACAATTAAGAAATCCAAATAAATTACATAGGCATAGTTTGGAGCAGTAACTCCAAGTTCTTATAGGTAGTTGAATATATTCAAAATCAGCTACAATTTGCATGACGATTGTTTTACACTTCCACTATTTTAGGTTAGCTTTATAATCTAGAGACGTATTTATAGGTCAGCTGAAAAACACAAAACAAAAAAACCCGGATAACATTTCGCAATGCGTAGTAAACTTTATCTTATTTCCAACTAGGTATTGTGTACGTTTTCGATCCAATAATTGTGGGTATGTTCTCAAATAAAGAAACAGATTCTCAAATAATTTGTTGCTTAACAAGTGAATAGGATGCTCTAGAAAACTTAGCAGTATCGACCACTTCTAAAGTTGCCCTCAGTTGTCTTTGTCTTTCCGTCGTGTGATACAATAGGCATTAAAACTTACTGCTGCTTCCGCAGGTCTTCCACCAGGAACGCGCTGAGCATATGCCGGAGCTCTTCCTTGGCGTACTCCTGCGGCAGGGGGAGCTTCTCGAGGGCGCTTCGCATCAGCGCACAGCTGTTGATGCGGGGATCCTGCGCGAAGAACGACCGTATCAGATAGGCCAACCGTTGGGCGATTTCGCTCTGACAGAGGCGGTGCTTCGGCGTCGGGCAGGGGAACATCTTGATCACCGAACACAGGTCGGACAGTTTGGGCTTGAGCTCCTCCAGCCGGGCTTCCGCGACGTCATCGTCGATCGCGTCCCGGATGAGATCGAACTGTGCGAGGAGAAAATGGTGCGAGTTAGCATATTGAGGGAATACCGAATGCATTCTTACCTTTTCGTTCAGCTCGATGAAATCCTTTAGAATTTGACCCTTGGTGGACCAATTGGAGATTTGTTTGATGTCTTCGAATTCGCCCAAAAGCGTCTTAAGGTAGGGGATATCATCTGAAAGGGAAGCAAATCGAAAACCTGAATTTAGCCAGCCTGTGTACAAATATAAGATTAGACAAATCACATGAAGTCAGATTCCGGACACTTCCTCAGATGCAACCGAAACGTGTCCGGGTGTGGCTAAATAGCCGAAATGCCATTGGCCATAATCTCATTAAAAGCAAAAAACAACTTAAAAAACGCCAAATTTGCCAAGAGAACCCCACATTGGTTCGGAAACGCCAAAATAATCCCTAAACTTGACTCCAAATTGCTTTGAAGTCCTTAAAGTGGCATCTAAAAAACCCACCAAATCGCCCTTTAAAAAAAAAATTGTAATCCACTCACCATTGATGACGCAATCGGCCGCAATGTGCTCCATGATGACCTCGTGCGCCTGGGACCACTGTTTGGCCTTCAGCAGGAACCGAGCTTGCTGGTGGTAGTCGAACCGGGATCCGGCCCGCACGGCCTTGGCCCAGAAGATCCACTTCTCCGGTATGCCGAGCTCACCGACGACGAACTGCTCCCGTTCGAGGTAGTCCTCGTCCTCGTCCGACGACAGTTGGATGTAGCGATAGAGCAGATCCTGGATGGCCAACTCCCGCCGCGACTGGTCGTTCAGATGTAGCAGCACGTAGATGGACCAATGCCAGAGGCCGTGATTCTCCAGCTGGCTGGCAAAGGACACGTGCAGTTGACTGCGGGAAAGTTCCGAACAGTGCCGATAGCCGAGTGTTTCAAGAATTTGCAGCAGGAACCACGATAGACGGAAATCCAAGGGGTCCGGAGTGTGGGTGGCCGGATTCAGCAGGGATTCCAGCGGGTGGGAACGCTTGGAAAAGAGCTTCAGCAGGTGGAACCGGATGTCCCGGATGGGTTTGGAGCTGTCCAGCTTGAAGCGGGAGGTGTATGCCGGGGACGGTGGAAGTGCGGAGAATTCACTGGACTCGAAAGACTTTTCGTAGCTGATCAGGGCATCGGTGATGGAAGCCGTTGGGGAACATAGGTACCAAAGATTCAAGGCAAGGGCCTTTAGCCAACCAAGTTCTTCGAAAATGTTGATTGGTCCATGGGTTGAAGAAAGCAGCGGAATTCCGGCGATCAGCATCAACAACTTCAACCTCCGCAAGTCGATGAACTTGTCCGCTTCGACGTCCTGCCAGGAACTTAGTTGATGTTGAACCAATTGCCGAACTGTAGGACCTCCGGAAATCTGTGCCAGCAACATCGAAAGGTTTATGTCGTTGTTCTCGAATGCCAACTCGCAAGCATCCAGGACTTTGTGGGTGCAGACCAATTCGAGCAATTGGTCAAGATAGTCTTGCTTCTGGCCCTGCAGCGTGGCCGTCACTTCCGTAGAGGTCAATTCCGTGACAACTTCCTCGATCCACTCGGAGAATAGATCCCGCCGGAACATGATACTCATATGGGCACTCTCTTCCACATCTTCCAGCTCTTCGCGAGCTCCCCACAGGGCAGCACAGAGGGACCAAACCTCGACGCACAGCGCTTCAAAGTCCCCACCAGTGGCGATCAAGCGGGCCATCTCCAAATGATCCGCGAGGGCAGCATGCTTTCCACCGGCCACGTAGTACGGACAATCACTGCCGGAAACTTTCCGGGCAACGTCGTACTTGAGTTGAATCCTCAGATGATCTTCGACTGTTTTGCGGAATTCCGGAATCTCGGCAGACGATCGAATCCGAAGCATCTGAACCGCTGCCGGAGAAAAGTCCTTACGCGAACGCCCCGCGAAGAACCGATGCAGATCTCCGAGGTGCACTACTTCGCCGTTTTTCAGCGAGGAGCAGTTCTCGTCCGTGTTCAACTGGACCAGCGACGAGGGGAAACTCCAACCGGCCTTGAATTTGCGACCATGGAAGAAGGCCAGGTCCAGTTTGTTGTTCAGGAATCGAGCCAGAACGGATTTTCCCAGCGGAATTACGATGTTGTTGGAGTGGATCAGTTCCACCTTGGGTTTCAAAACCAACGGCAACGATTTCGGTCCAATCGGGCGTGGGATTTCCGTGGATTGAGCCAACTTGTGATGTTTCTGCTTCTGTTCCTGATGGAAATTCTTGCCGGTAGAAGTGGTGAAAAGCGCCGCAGGTGCAGTGAAATCATCCAGCTGCATATACTCTGCTTCCAACTCTTTGGGAGATTCGGTTCTCAAGTACAAACTGCTCGTCAAGGTCCTGCCGAGTCCGAAATATGGCTTATTGGGAACCATCTGATCGGGACTGTCTCGCCCTCCTCCGTCGGTCATGTCCGATATGATCGACCTCCGATCGAAGTCGTCATCTACGAAGAACGAAGCCTTCATCAGCTGCAGTTTGTGCGAATCGGTGCCCAGTCCGAGGGCCAACGCAGCGGTTGGGCTAGTCGGAGCCAAGCTTTCGTTCGTCATCATCGAGTAGCTGTTCAAATCTTCCTGGCCTACGACCTTTTCTCGAAGTGGCTTCTTAGGGATTGCTCCCTTCTCCTTGCCCAGCTTGTCCTCCCCGGCAGCACCGATCATCTTCGCCTTCTTCGGATCAACCGGCACCTCATCGTCATCGCTATCGCTCAATCCGTACTTGGAAAAGTGATCCACCTTGAAGACCCAACTTCCCGTGTCCGGCCGGTATTCCAGGAACTTTGTATCGTGCTTGTCGCACACCCTCCGCAACTTGCCTTCGTAGTCCATCCGTGCCAAGCGGTGTGGATCTTTGATGGGTTCGTGTAAGGCCTTGTCGTGGGGCCATACCTGATCCAACGTGACTTGAGCCTTCCGGTTCAGTCCCTGTCCCACCGGAGGTTTGTTATCGTCGTCCGGATAAATGATCACCTCCTTGTTGCGAAAGTGGACCATTTCGTCCAGGTTCATGTTGGCCACATCGATCGGTCCGTCGAAGTACACGTTGCCGTAGCCCTTCCGACCGATGGTGAAATTTGGCACGACGCATCGACCTTCCTCGTCCATCACTTGCAAAATCTCGTCCAACGGTGGGATGGTGTAGTAACCCGGACGCCGCTGCACGATTCCAGTAGGGTGCGGTTCCACTTCTTCCTGGATGCTGATGGACGATATATCGCCCATTCCGGTGGCATTGGCCATGCTGTCGTTCAGGAAGGACCGATTCGTCGACGAGAGCAGTGTATCGTTCATGTTGATCGTCGAACTGCTCGTGACATCCTGTTTGCCGCCGCCGGTTGCCCCAATGGCAGAACCGCTTGACGGTGACGATCCGGAATCGACGGATGTATCCCTGGCCAACGAAGAAGCCGAGGCGGATTGAGCGGTTGATGGTGCGAATTCTTTGATGGTGGTGTCCATAAGCGATTCCGAGAGCCGGTTGCTTTGGCGGACTTTGTCCAGGGCGTTCGATTGAAGCCACGAGACGCGGCGACTCGTGTCCTGGCTGCTGGAACCTGGTTGCATATCTACCGGATCGACTGGGATCTGGTTACGGAAGGATTCTTTGGATGTCCCATCGTTCTTGGCGGTGGAATCGTTTCCTGCTCCTGTTCCGACTAGGGATGTTCGAACTTGGATCGTGATTGTCGGAGTGGACGTTTTCGGCTTTATGATTAGCCGTTTTGCGTTCGGTTTCAACGAGAACGATTCTTCGAGGGTGCTGTCGTACTCTTCGAGTCCTTCGAAGAGGGATTTCTTCGATAGGGCTGCAGCTCCTAAGGGTTTGACCCGGACTCCGTTTCCGGCGACCTTCGGGGAAACTTTGAACTGTTGATTGGCGCCTTCAAGGATGGCTTTCTGGGCCGATGGGTTGGTCGGTTTCAGGGAGTCTGCAGTAGCTCCGGTCAGAGGTTTGATGCCTTTGAAAATTGGATTATCGCCGTACGGGGAAGTGACCATGGCGAGGATTTGTTGGTGGATCGGGACTGCGGCTTGAGCGGGTTGTCCGGACATTCCGATGCCTGTATTTGTTCCTAATCCGGCCCCGAAACCTCCGGTGCCGAGATTTCCGAATGCACCCGCTCCCGTTCCCATGGCGGACGTATTGCCGAAGAGACCGGTTCCGGTTCCAAGACCGCCCGGCTTGTTAGCCGTGTTTCCAAAAAGGGATCCCGAACCGGCGCCGAAGTTTAGACCACCTCCGAAGGCTCCCGTCGAAGTGGTCGTGTTCAGGCCAAAAGAAGGAGCTGCCGGTTTGTTGAAAGTGCTTCCAAACAGTGATCCTCCGGCGTTGGTGTTGGTGCCAAAACCACCAAAAGACGGTGCCGTCGAAGCTGGGGCCTGTCCAAAGGGGCTTTGCATCGTTCCGAATGTGTTTGCTGGCTTGGCACCAAACAGACTCCCTCCTGCGGTATTCGTTGCCGTGTTCGATCCGAAACCAAACCCTGCTTGCGTTGTTTGATTTCCTAGACCTCCAAATGCGCTAGGTCCAGCCGTACTGGCTGTAGCACCTGAGAATAGACTTCCCGCAGGTTGAGCCTGACTCTGAGTACCGAACCCTCCAAAAGTGGACTGTCCGAAGGTATTCGTCGCCGGGGCAGCCGTCTGTCCAAACATCCCGGTAGTGGGTGATCCGAACGCCGCTTTGTTCGCTCCTAAACCTCCTAACGTGCTTGTGTTGGTCTGTCCGAAACCAAAGCTAGTAGTGGTGGCAGTGGTTCCAAACGGTTTACCAAACGTTGTGGCTTGAGCCGATCCGAAAGCCGGGGCCGTAGACTGTCCGAATGTATTGGTCGTGCTTCCGAACAGACTCGCGCTCGGTTGGGACGTTGTTGTCTGTCCAAACAGAGACTGAGGCTGAGAAGCCTGTGCTCCGAAGGGCGTAGCAGCTGGTGTAGCCCCGAAAAATCCTCCGGCCGCACCCGCTTGTGGACCTTTCCGATTGGCGCCATAATCCTCCACACGCAACTCTTCCACGGATTTGTTCTCATACTCCTTCATGAAAGTGATGCAATGCTGCTTGGTTTGGACCGTGGAGTTTTGGCCATTTTTCATCAGCGTGTCCGTCGAGGCCGTTTGCTGGTATTTGACCACCGCCGTTCCATTGGCACCACCAATCGGAGCAGCTACGCCTCCAAATGCGGCCTTCTGGGCTCCAAACAACCCTCCACTTTGCGCAGTCTGACCAAAAAATCCACCCGTCGTAGTTTGACTGGTGGTTGCCTGGCCGAAAAGAGAAGTCTGTGCCGCTGGTTGGCCAAACCCTCCGAATCCAGCCGGTTTCGCTGCTCCGAAAGCCGAATTGTTATTATTACTTCCAAACAGTGACGTGTTCGGAGCTGTGTTGTTTTGCGTTCCGAACAGAGAAGTAGTTTGTTGCTGCGGCTGACCAAAGGCTAAAATAAAAAAATAAATAAAATGGAAAAATCGATTCAATTGCGTCTTAACAATCTCGAATGTCGATGACGTCATGCGTTACACACCTCCGAACCCAGACTGCTGGGTGGTGGCCGGGGCTCCGAAAGCCGGTGCTGCGGTCGTATTGGCTCCGAACAATCCTCCCGCTGGTTGCGTTTGTCCAAATAGCGAAGGGGTCGCTTGCTGTCCGAAGGCGGGCGTAGTCCCAAAGGCTCCCGCCGTCGCTGGCTTCCCGAAGGTATTGGTCTGCCCGAAAGGGCTAGCCGTAGCCGTATTGTTACCGAACGTACCAAACCCGCCGGCCGTGCTCGTTTGGCCAAATCCTACCGGCTTTGGGCCAAACATCTTCACTCAATCAATTTCGTTCCACAAGCAAAAAAAATCTATCGAAATTTTTCAACCACCAGAAATCGATTTCACTTTTGTTATGACTTTTTCAGCTCCGTTCGTCTGTCAAGCAGAAGAAAAACAATAATAATGAAAACGCGCGAACATAACCTCGACACTGTCGAAAAAAAAAACTCACAAACGAGCAAGAGGAACAAGAGGAAGAATTCGATCACTTTTTTCCACCGCTTTTTCGCCTGTAATTCTCACCTAAATTTGGAAAACTCCACCTTACTACAGCGCACGGCGGTGCGGGGAACCGAATGTCACTGGTTTTGCACGGAATCACTCGATATTTCACGGTATTTTTCACGATTTTTATGCGCTCATTGCAGAGCAAACACTTTTCACGTTGATTTAAGAATGACTATGGCGATTGATTGGAAAGTGCTCGGTTAATGTTGCCGAAGAGGAGATCGCTTTTTATGCTACCGAGGGGAAAGTCTTCGTTGTGTTTTGACAGCTTCGTTGGCTACCAAGGTATATGAATACTGAAAGGTGCACAATTAAGCTGAACAATGCATTAGGTCCTAAGTAACATTGACAGATTCTCTTCGTCGACTTTCGCTTACATGCTCACGACTAGAAATACTCAGAGGGAGAGATAGGCGGAGAATACAAAATACATTTCGGCAGCAGGGATTTGTTCCTGAATTATCTTGCAACCCTTGCTAGAAGCTAGCATTTCAAATGACTTGTATTTTTGATTCGATTTAGGTGCAAAATAATAATTGATTGCATCGTAATATTTTGCACATTTCTTGGTGCCATTCGTTAACCGGCGAAGATCAATTAATCAATAGAGTTAAAATATTGTTTTTGATTCCAAAAACTAGTTGAATTTGAGAAGCACACAAAACATAAAGGTGATTGAATTTCTGTTCAATTGCAATACTCTCAAATTTATTCTAGTAAGAATCAGAAAAATTCAAATTGGAATGTTCGATTGGCTCAGATTATGACAGTTCATTTGGCTCAAAACATTCTCTCCGCCCATCTCTCCCTTTGAGTATTTCTAATGCTCACGGCCATGTTAAGAAATTCACAGCTAATTTCAGCACACAAATCGATGAAATAAACTACATACACAGCAAAAAAAAATGTAATATTGATCAACGTAATTCAAGCTGATGTATGAAATAATGATGTAATAGCAAAAAAGCAGATACAATATTACATCAATGGATGTAGTTTTGTTCGCAAAATCGGTATACATCGTACAACGTAATATTACACCACCAGCGGAATTACCTCTTTCAGCTGTTTGGATGTAATATTCAACAACTTTTTTTTTCTGTGTATTCAGTACATTGCTATACACTCAAAAATATAACTAAACATTGATAGATTACAATTTATTCATTTTATGGTTATGCTACATTTATACATTGCTCCGATTTGAATTTCTCTTTAAAATTATACATTGTTCAGCTTGAAATATTCTGGAGTGCTTTTTGAATAGGCCGTTTGTAACAACATTTGTTAATTTAAACAAACTGAGATTTGGACGAGGGGGATTGACACATCTAAATCTCAATTCTAGATGCACAAAATATCTCACACTAAAGAATCAATCTTCGAAAAATCTTCTTTAATTTCTAGCATCTTCTTGCATTGCGCATTATATTTTTGCAGAAAATCTTCAGAATTCACATCGATCTTCTTTCTACCTACTAGGCGTGTGCACAGTTAGCCACAATAAATAGATAGAGTAACCCTCCCCTCCCCAGTAATTTAAAGCTACCAGACGCTACATCGAATATTCTACCTATCCAGCATTTTACGAGCGCTGTGGCCACCACAATCTGACTGAGTTTCTGGTAGAGAACATTCGATTTGATGTTTGGGTTATGTTGTTTGACGTGTAAACGATCAAATTTTACCGTTCACAGGTCAAACGACACAAGCCAAACTTCAAATCATATGTTCCCTACCAGACACTCAACCAGATTGTGGCGGCCATGATCGGTCGTAAAATACTGGATAGGCCAAATTTAGGTACGCTACCTCATTGCTGTTTAATTTTTCATCAATCAATCGATCAAAACATAGCTGAATGTTACTACATACGACACCTTACTTCTATGGGGTTACCAATCGTCACATGTAAAAAATTTGACAGAAGCGTAAAAACTATACCTAACGACCTGTTTTTTCCAATGGGGAAGACAGCTTCTAAGCAGTTACAGAGTTGGTTTTGATGCACCTCGAGTAACTCACATTAATCAGTGAGCAAGATCACTGTCTTTTACTTTCTCACTTTTCGCATCACAGGAAAATATGGAGGTTCGAAGCCGAAAAGCTGCTGTCAAGCAAAACAACAACACAAATCGGGAGCTTCCGGCCTGCAACTCCAGACAAGTATGATTGCGATTCTGAACTTTCGGTAGCTAAATTTCTGCCTGTTTCCTCGCTGGTTTCCAGCTCCCGGGATCGCTCTTCCATCTTTTGGACGGATTTAACTTACATGGGGTTTGAGTGCTACTCTCTGGACCGAGCCGATTCAACAACGTGCTTGCGGACATTGATTGGAAATTTATAATGTCAATAATGCTGTGGATTTTTCAGTAGTGTGCTGGAAGATGCTATTTTCCACATTGTCCCAGAATGACAACCCCCGTGTCAACGCTCAGCCACCCTCCGAAGGTACTGAAACTCACCGCGTACTACAAACGATTGCTCAATTTCGCAAGTTATCGCTATCGAAAATACAATCATTTGCTTTACAATCGACACATCGTCACGTGAGAACGCACGGAAGTTTTTGGTCGTTAGTTAACTCCAAACGGAAGGATTCTGCCCAAAACAGTAACATCAGCAGCAGCAGAAACCAGTCGGCATAGAGAAGCAGATGAAAATTCACTGGCGCTGGCGACGAAAGCCCTCTCTGGAAGCTTTCCCAGCATCGTTCGAGCTGTTTCCTGGACAAATTCTGGAATTCACATCGTTTCAAAAGCCGATGTAAACAATGGATTTAGCCATAAATTTCTCATTGATAAAAGCTCACTCATGAAAATTAATAACATCAACAGGAAGAGGAATGTTTCCTCTACCAGCTACCATTGCTAATATGCTAATATGAGAAGGGGGTAAACGAAGTAAGCCGATTAATAAAGGGTAGAACATTCAAAAAGTAATCAACTCAAATTAGTAAATTTATGTTTAGCGTGCACTTTAAAAAATAACAAACGTGGATTTTCGAAGATGGGTGTCTAAAAATCTCTTGCCATTTTTGGTTTTGGAATTTTGCATTCAGTTTTGAGATGGCTACCAAACAAGCGAACCAGCATTCACGCATTCGTTAAATTCATATCTTTCTTTGTGAAAGCTGATTTTAAACAGCTTTCTGGTCCAAAAATGTATACTGCAACTGTAAGAGTATAGTTCAGAACGACTTAAGCAAAACAAAAATCTGTCGAAATTTTTAAGAAAACGCGTTGGGCAGATGATTTGCACTGGTGAGAGCTGAAGAGCAATTATCTTTGTGACAGCTGGCATCATTATTCAGAATATTTACGTTAGCGAGTGTTTGAACAATTCTAGATAGAGCTGGAATTAGGGCGTAGCAGCTTTTGTAAACAATGACCTCAATCGATGATTTCTAGGAACTCAAGGCACGCCCACGCAGACGAATATAACCATCAGATAGGGGAAGTCTTTCCCTACCCGATGAGAATGTTGGTTTGCGTGGGCGAGCCTTGAATTTCTAGAAATCATCGATAGAAGCTATTGTTTACAAAAGCTGTTAGGCCCTTAAGAGATTCACTCAACTCAAACCTGGCAACACAGTATAAAGTACTGCATGACCAAACTGCATGCTCGATGTCGTGGTAACCATCATCACAGCCCGAGGGGGGCGACTCTATCTAAGATGCAGGAAATGTTATGCTTTGCTGTTATGAGATGCACTCGCGCTTAATAGATATACATAACATAACACATAGATAACACGATTGATTATGATTTTGAAGATTTCCTGCAAAAAGGTGAAGAGCGATGCGAGTAGATGGGCTTAGATGCAAGAGATGAAAAAAGATTTTTCGTAGATTGATTCGCTAGTGTGAGATTTTTCGACCATTTAAAATCGAGATTTAGATGTGTCGCACCCCTCGTCACAGCCACATATATTGCTATCTGAGAGTCCAATCCGATAGAGATGTGAGTCGAAACGAAAAGTGATTGGACCATGGTTTGTTCGACACTTGTGGGAGAATAGAATGCAGCCATCTTCCCAAATCACCATAATTCCACTTTTGTTGCCAGTTGGTAAGGACTTTCTGACGAGCAATTGAGAAAAAATAATTAAAGACGATTTGTCGCTCAAACATTTTGCCTTCCATAGCGCCCACCTTAGCCAACGAGTCCGCTTTCTCGTTACCCGGAATAGAGCAATGATAAGGGGCCCAAACCATGGTGATAGTGTAGGAGCAAATAGATACAGCACTCAGGGTAGAGTGCTTCATCGGCCTCATTCGCCTTGACACCAGTCCCGAAGTGACGTTTCTTCACACAAAATTTGGACAGTTACTTATGGGGTTTTGCGTTGGAATGAGAGAAATAGAAAAAGTCCGCCATGTTTCACACATAGACAGACAGTTACATGTGAGATTTCTCCATAGGAGTAAAGAGTTCTCGTCAACGCGATTGAACGAATCCAGCTTTCCATGCTCGGTAATGGCAGCCTGTTTGTATGAATAGATGTATCCTTCACTGTGGTCTTTGAGACTATCTCTCCGAGAAAATGGAACAACATACGCCCTGCAGTTAGTGTCAAAAACCACAGTGAAGGATGCATTTATTCATACAAACTAGGCTGCCATTACCGAGCATGAAAGCTGGATAGCATAAAGGGAGCTTAGGTTGTCCGTGTAAATGAAATAATGGTCAGGGGGAAGTGAGACAATTTGCTCTAACGCGTATGATATAGCAGCTAGCTCTGCAACGTAAACTGAGCAGGGGTTCAGAGGTTTATAGGAGGCGCTATGAAATACATTGAATACTCCAAAACCAGTGAACGCATTTATGGTTGACCCATCTGTGAAAAATTTCTTCTCTTGACTGACGTGGCGATACTTGCCAGCGAAAATTGAGGGAACAACCATTGAACGATGGGGATCTGGTATTCCATGGATTTCTTGCTTCATGGTCAGATCAAAATGTACAGAGGAACTGTAGAAGCAAGCACGATTGAACGGCCCAACCTCGGGCCCAACCTCCAGCGTAATGTATTCGAAGTAGCAAGGGGCGATCTTGGATCGAAATACAAAAGATGGATTATTTTGGATCGATTTATCGATTTTTTTAATCGATTTCAAACACGTCAAATATCGACTGGATCGATCAATTTTATTCGATTTTTGTTTTGATCCAAAAACAGTGTTCAGCGCATTTGCATTTGCAATTTAATATTGATTTTTTTTTTCTTGACCTTTGCACATCACTTGCCTTGAACATGGATTCTGCAAACAGCCAGTGTGACAGTTCAGTAGAAATATTCACTTCTTATGGCATATTTCAGGTTCATCAGTCCTCTATGTAAGAATCGGATCGCCTTGGGGTCATAACGGCAGAATTACAAAATTTCTTGCTTCAGCCTGTTTTCTCACGTTCTGTCGATCCTTTTCAAGCATGGGAGAAAATTCGTAGTGAATATCTTCATGTATACCCTAGTGTATACCCCATTGCTCGGGACTATTTATCAAGAATGGTAACAAGTGTTCCGTCAGAGAGGCTATTCTCTAAAACTGGTGAAATCTCACAGAATCGATATCGGGTCAATGCAAAACGCATGGCTCAATTAGATTTCTTTGTATCCCTCTCGGATGAGTTTTGGGATATCTAAGGTGCTTACCTGCTTTTACACTCCGACCATCTAATCGTTTTGTTTCATTTTTTAATCTTTCGTTTTTTAAATCGCATATTACAGCCTGTTAAATCACTCACCCAATCAAGTATCATGAGCAAAAACATCCGCATGTCAAATGAAATCAAAATAGTAATTTACTAAATTCTCATCAAGTACAGTGTATGTTAAATTTTAGAAAAACGGCTTTAAGAGCAGCAATCAATCGATTTTCACCATCTTTAGACAATGGTTTACTTTTAACCATTTTTCAATAGTTTACAGAATGAAATCAATAGTTTTGAAACATTCAGCAAATTTCTAGAAATATTTCCAATCGATTGATGCCATTATCTCGTAAATCTATCGAGAGACGGTTGAGTTATTATCGTTAAAAATCTTTTAATTTTTCGTAACGCATCCAAAATGACTGTTTTCAATTTTGTACCCCCGTATGTTGCCGAAAGACGTTATCCAACGTCAATATTTATCCATTCACCATGCTTCAAAAAATTGTCCTCTAGGTTGTACGATCAATTTTGAGATAGACTGTATAAATGTTACACTCACTACACAATTTATTTATAAATGATATCAATCATCGCACTAAATGACCATTATAAGTCAAATGTCATATTTGAAACATTTTTGTACCATTTTGAAACAGTAATCGATCTTTTGATCGATTCAAAATGATTGTTTAAATCGGTGAATCGATTATTTAAAAAAAAAAAATCAATTCACTAAGATCGATTCTTGCCCAATGCTAATTCGAAGTACAAATTCATGAATCGAATTTGAGGATTTCGGTCGAGCAACTTCTCAAAGTTCTCTATTAAGAAGATGTTCGGATTGTTGTGTCCGACATGTCTCGACACTATATCAAATTCTCGATCCAATGAGATTTATTTACATCGATGGACCAGATTTGCCCAATCTCCTTTGCATAATCCTCTGTCTTCGTTCAAATTTTGCGCCAGTCTTCACGCTGACCAAAGTTTCTACTCCCAGAGCCGACCGACACAACGAAGGAACTCGGTACGATGCAAGCAAAAGCTCCGATCTCGCATCGGACTACGGAGTCGTTCAGCCGATTGTAAACATTCAATGTGTTGCTTTGGTGCTGTTCGGACGTGAATTTTTCTTTGCTGTTGCTCGTCGCGCTGGCCAGAAATATTTTTTTTTTTCTGTTGTTCAATCCCTTCTCGTACTGCCTTCCTTCTCGTACTGCTTGTGTGAGGTTTGTGCAGTGTGTACTGTTCTGCGGCAGTGGTAGTGGTAGTGGGAGAGGTAGCGGTGCGCGTACTCACTCCCCCGCATCGTCCAATACCGTATAGTTTGCTCAATCGCGCGACGACGGCGGCAAGCGGCCCCCACCGCGAAAGAGGGCCCGTTTCGTTTTCAATCATCAACAGCAGCAGCACACAATCGTGTCCGTGGATTTGTGAGTGTGTGTGTGTGTGTGCGCTGTTGTGTTTTGTGTGCAAATAAAAAAAAAAAACGGAAAGAAGAACATTAGCAGCAGCAGCAATCGTCAGAAGAACATCGTCAAAATGTGATCGAGAAAAGCGGTGAAATTAGCATTATCGAAAAAAATCAAACGACTAATCATTTTGCTTTCGGTTGTCACCGCCCGGTAGTGATAAGGAAAATTTTCTCAATCCGTAAGAGGCAGAATCCTGCGGAAAGAAGAAAATGACCGTGTGGAAAAGTGTTGGTGAAGCGAAAATGCTCGCAATCGGTAAGAATCTCGATGGGGTTTTTTTTTTTTTATTTTAGAAAAAAAGGGATTTAATTTTTCACGGTGGCTACGATGATGGATGGGATGAAGAATGCACAGTGGAGAGAAGAAAAAGCTCAGCTTCGATACGCAAAGTATGTGGCGAGGAGAAAGAAGAAACCGAAGGAAAAGGTTAATCGCAGCAGCAGCAGAAAGCAAAAGCAAAAGCATGCAGTGTTTTTTATGGTGACGAATGAGTGGAAATGAAAGAGGGCATAAAAATAAATGGTGAAACAACAACACGAACGGCGGCGATGTGTGTGACATTTTTATGCTGTTTATTTTAGTAATGGAAATCTCGGTATGGGTGGAAATTGAACAAGAGATCGGCAATTTTGAATGCAATAAAAATGTACCTAATCATTCATCAGTGATCGGTAAGCGAATTATTTAAAAAAAAAGGGATTCCAGTTTTGTGAACAGCAACTGGTGAATTATACATTATTATGTACTGCAAAAGATTTTCAAACGAAGGGGTGGACAAGAATGCATTATATTTTCTTCAACACAATGTTTTTTTTACGTAGGACTACGTCTGTGAGTTCTATATGGTGGTACACTTTGTGAAAACCGAAAATGGAACATGTAACAAAATTATGAAAGATTTTGAACGTTGATAACTCAGCTGCCCCTGGACCAATTTCAATAATTTTAACACCAATCGATCAGAAATATTCCTACGCATCCAAATTAAAGACTTTATCATTTTTCAAAATGTCACCATTGAAAATTTTATGAATGTGCAATTGTTGCAATGATAATTAAAATTATCATCGATTGCCTGCGAAAAGCGATTTCCCTAACACAGATTTCAAAGTTGAATTCCATCCGGTCTGATCAAACGGTGTTTATTCAATCACCGCGTGGTGAGGGGTGGTGTTCTCCAGTACACAACGAAAGGCTGCCTGCAAGCAGCGAGCTGCAGCCGACATGAGCATCCATAAAACGAGGAAGAAGCCGCACAGCTATTGATCGGAATCAGTAGCTCTTCGTGAGTCGGTGTGGGCCATCTATGTCAAGCGCGTCATACTAAGAGGCTGTTCATTAACTACGTAGACCGTTTTTTGGATTCTTAACCCCCCCCCCCCCCCCTCACCCTGCGTAGACAATTGTCCATACAAAAAAAAAATTAAATTTGTATGGACCGTGCATGATTGTCAACCCCCCATGATTTCTCTTGAAGAATTAAGGACAAGGTCCAGAAGGCTTCGGAGGACAAGTCTTGAGAGTTCTTACTAAGCATGAATTGAAGCGAATCGAACATCCTCCTTTCATCTGGTAAAACATCTAAGATCATGATACTACTGTTCATAGTGCGGAGGGCACAAACTCACAATGGATTTACTGTGGCGAAATTGAAAGTCACGACGGTGGTGTCATTTTCCTGCTCCAAATACTTACCCTGGAGCAAATTCCACAGCTTAACCGACCAGCACGGGTTTGCAAATCCTAAGCAATCGCCAAAAGCGGCATCGGAGCCCCCTAAAGGCACGCCATTTAACATTCCCGCAGTGTGATAATTGCTTTCCCATATACCATCCGCAACTCACCAGCGACCGTCGGACCGCCCGACCATGTTGTTATTTTTTCGGCTTCTTCTTTCCCCAGTAAACATTATTTTCGCTTACGGCAGCCGCCACCCCATTGTTGTTGCAATTTTCGTTTCGCGGTACGGTCAACTGCTAACTTGCGCTCCAAATACCTCCTGTGGTAGGACGACGACGAAGACGACGACGACGTTACTATTTAGATTACGTAGTTCGATTCGCCGAAGTGAGCTCCGAAAATTTACTCAATCATCCGCTGAGCTGCACTACCAGAGAGGCAGCTATCCGTGATTTATGAGTTCCTTCCACCTTGGACTTGATTTCGACTAACTACCTGCCTACTTGGATGGTTGGTTTTCATTTATTTCACCTTTAAAAAGCATGCGTGACCGGTTTGCATCCGAAGTTTCAGCTCACTTGGCTGGGTTTTGTTTTGATTTCTAATGCCTAGCAACAATCTACATTGTTGTTGACGTTACTCCGGTGCGATTGTTTAGATACTTGAGGCAGAAGGTTTCTTCACCTTCAGCCATCAACCACGAGCGTCAGATGCTTATTCGTCTGTGATGATTTGGCATTATGAGGGACGGACGCTGCCTTGGGTAAAATCGTCTTGAGCAGGTGTAGGTGTGTAATAAAATGTAAGGCATGGGAAGTAGGGGCAGCAAAATAGCGACTTGCATCATGCAAATTTTTGCTTTCCCATGCTGCACGCCGATGTGGATAGATAATGAACAGCACTGGAGGTTGTTTTCGGATGGCTTGGTTTGCATAATCATTGCCAGAAGGGGGAAGGAACTCGTCAGGTGGTCAGTTAACTTTATGCATACTGCTGATGAGGGACCGGAGTGGACCGTGAAAAATGTGGTTTGATTGTTTTCTCAAATTAAAAAAAATAATCTCAATACTTTCATCAAATTCACTGCAATGTAATGTAACTGCTCATATTTAAAGGAAGGATGAATTTGATATATGAAAAATGATTCACAGGTTGGACTACGTCTTTGTGGAATATACTGGGTGCAAAAAAAAAGTGTGACGAAATAGTGTCAGATTTTAAACGCTTATTACTTGGCCATTTATGAATGGATTTCAATCCTTATCGCACCATATGCTTCAGATTTGATGCAAGATTCGTTTGGTGTAAATATTGTACTAGTTTGTCATTGGTAAACTATTGAAAATTGGTCAAACTTTTTGACCGTAATCACGTAATTGCACGCTATGACTGTCGAGAGAACAAGGAGAAATGAGCCGATAGCGAAGTTATAGAAAAAGTGTACCTGTAAGTTTTCTTTCAGTTCGTTTTGGGATGACGCTGTTTTCATATCGTTAAACGCCGTCAATGAGACTAACTCAAAATTTAGTAAAATTTCACTCAAAATCGTAGTTAGTTAAATTTTACTCGATTTTTTTCATAATTGTTCTTGAATGTGACGAAAATTGTACGTCTTTTAAATCTATGAGTATACTTTTAGGCTGAGTAAAATTCTCCTTGATTTTCCTCAAAAATCGGCGTGAATACCTGGAAAAAAAATAATTCAGTTTATACTCAAACTGAGTAAAATAGGGGAAATGAATGTTATGTCGGCCTAAGTGTCCCTAATTTGGGCCCATACATAAATTCAGCAATCGACTAAATTTTCAATAGCAACCAAAAATATCCCTTAGTAACGTCCCAATAACGCGTTCATCTAGATAAAATTGATAACTAGCAGATTTTTAGCGATGGGCCTCAATCTAGGCCAACATTAGAGCCATTTCCCCTATCACTTATCTTTTCCAAATCGCTCTGTGGACAAAAGCAATGTACATCGCAAAAACCTAACAATAGATCAGCGCCGTCATGTCACACCGGCAACAAAGGGAAGCGAGAGCACACCGGGCACCTAAGCAACAGGAGGAAAACATCAGCACAAACCATTCCAAATAAAATTATCGCGCCCGGGACACAAAACTATTCAAAGGCGAGCACCAAAAAACTCCACGGCAGCACAAAGCATAAATAAAAATAAAATATAAGCACGCAGCGGAGCTAAAACACACAACCGTTCTCGAGCTATTCTCAAAGCGAACTCGCTCTGAAACACAATGTATCCACATGCCAAAATTTAGCTCTCAAGGACTTTATTTACCCTCACGGCTTTGGCAATTATCCCGGCCCATACAAATTTTATTTATTGAATAACGCTGTAGTCTGTGATAATCCGTGTACCTGTTGTAAAGAGAAAATATAAAATAAAATTCATTACACTGTATAACGTTAACCAATAAAGACGTGTTTCAATCGTACTCTACCATTGGTTATGGGCCCAGAATCCCTAACCGGAAGGTTCAGAAGATTTTTTCCATTGAAGCAGCAGTATGTCCACAAGCGGAAGTTCGGGATCCGGACAGCAATGTCAAGGGAATGGAGATGGCAACGGAAGAGGCAGGACTGAAGCAGGAAGCGTTGGAGTCAGAAGTTCCGTTGCGCTGCCAGCCATTGAAAAGCTAAAAGTAAGAGAGAATTATTCGACGTGGGCATTTGCGCTGCGGATGATTCTGATCCATGAAGGAAGCTGGTCTGCCATTGACGGAAACGGTGAAGATGTTCCTGAGGACGTGAAGTTGCAGGCTCTCGCAACGATCTGGCTAAGTCTGGAAAGCTACAACTACAGCCTGGTTCAGGATGCGGAAACTGCGAAGGAAGCTTGGACGAAGCTGCAATCTGCATTTCAGGACAGCGGATTAACCAGGAACATTGGGCTGCTCAGAAAATTCACGTCAGTAGGGCTAATCAATTGTGCTAGCGTTGAGGCGTACGTGGACGAATTGATGAGCACAAGTCACAAGCTCGCATTCGTGAGATTCAAGGTGGAAGATTCTTGGCTCGCGGCGATTCTGTTTATGGGACTTCCTGAGCAGTACGAGCCCATGATCATGGGACAAGCCGAAAGAAGTTCGGCGAGCTAAAGGACAGTAACAAAGGTGAGAAGCTGTGAGAAACCGGGCACTTTGCAGCCAAATGTCCCAATGCCAAAAAGCCATCTTTTAAACCAAGCAAGTCAAAAGGACTGTGCTGTATTTTCGCTATTGGATTCCAGCCAGAAGAAAGCATGGAAGTTGCTAATGTGTTGGAAATTCCGGACTTAGCAACCAACCTGTTATCCGTCAGCACCATCTGTAAGCGAGGAAACAAGGTAGTATTCACGGCGAACAAGTGCGAAGTCTGGGATGAAAGCGGCGAGCTTGTCATTACCGGAGTTGAAGAAGGCGGTCTCTATCGTGTCAGCCTTCCGGAAAAATCGTTTTTGGTAAACAGCATCGAGTTGTGGCATAGACGTCTTGGCCATTTGAATAAAGGAAGCTTGAAGAAACTCAAGGAAGTGGCTAGCGGAATCGACTTCAAGAATGAAGCACTTACCAATTGTG